ACACACACACACACACACACACACACACACACACACACACACACACAAACATACACGCAGTCCAGTCTATGAGCTGGTATATAAAATAGATATAATAGATAATGTTAATGTAGGAAGCTTGTCTTTACATTCATGCATCCAGCCTTTTGTCAAATCCCTGTCTGCTTGAGGAACATTTGAGACACTGAACGTGTTATGACCAATACATGCTGGCATTATGTTATAGCTGGGTGGCAGAGACGAGCTCGTTTTTCACTTGAGAAAAACACCTTTCTGACGAAAAATATATACTTTCAGCTGGTAGAGCAGCATGGAAATCTGGTCATTTAAGAAACAATCCATCTTTGAATGTTCTTGCACTGTTAAATATTGTGAGTGTGTGATATATACAGAGCTGCTTTTAATTAACATTGTTCTGTTTTCACAGTTTTTTTTGTCATTCAATCTGCCATTTTGCTCTTTATTCTGTTGTAATATTGACTTATGTAAAGACGTTTCAAGTAACTGCTGAGAGAGTAAAGATGTCTAGCTCGCTAACCACAGTCCCAGCTCACTGTGTTGACGTCAGTGGCGAGCAAGGAGACGCAAACCAGAGCTGTGTTTCACCACCATCAACCGGACCATGTGGGAGGATGCAGTGATTTAGCCATTTGTTCACCTCACTGACTTTGAGCTATGAGCTGCATCAGCAATTGCTACAGACACAAAAAGGTTCACTTATATAAGTGTGAGTTTGCTCACATGCACATTGACTGAGTTGTACACATATAGATCTGCTAGAAATTAATTTGAGTGCACAGGCATGCTTAAATATTAATGGCAATACCTACAAGCATGTTACATCATAATCCCACAAAGACCTACACCCACCGCCTCCTCCACCTCCAACATCACCCAATTGTAAAACCTTTTATATTTTTCAAGCACCCTTTAAGCTTTTCTGTCACATTTAATTTCACACATGAATGCTTTCTACACAAATCAAACGTTTGTTGAAATTGTCGCATTTTTTCACGTCTTTCTTAGTAAATTCATTCATTATTCAAGAAATAATCATCCACTCAGTTATCTGTAGAATTGTAATTTCTCTGTTCATCCACAGCCTCTTAGCATTCTCTGAATTCCAACTATTTAATTCCACTTCCCATTCAGTCATGTGTGTATTATATAAGTGAACACAAATGGTGTGTAGTTGACTTCATGTCTCTGTGAGTGATTGACAACTAATCTCCCCCACTGGCAATCTTTTTCCATGGATGCACTGAGTCCGACTGAGAAGCTGTGGGCAATCTGATGACATACTGTTTCACATTTTTGAAAAGCAGAAAAAAAACAATTCTCATGTATTGTTCCACTAGGCTTCAGTGTGCCCGTTGTATCAGACAATTTTACTTTTGGATGAGCCAATGTAATGCCATTCTAGGAACAAGCTAAGTACTGTCATGCAGTGTTTTTTTCTTCTTCTCTCATCAGAAACGTCTTAATGTTGTATTTTTTACACTCTTTTCCAATTCCAGTGTGAACAAGGTAAAGGCCCACATAACATTGTCCTGTCTTTTACATTAATGGTCCTATTGTGGTGATGAAACCTATACTTTGGTAGAATTAGATGGGCTTGAAAGGCAAAAACGTGAAAATGTAAATGGCCCTTTCTAGAACCAGTGTTTTAGTTTGTCCGTTCCGGGCTACTGTAGAAATAAGGCGGCTTGCTCCGTGTGTAGATATAAACGGCTCATTCTAAGCCAACGAAAACACAACAAGTCTTATTTTCAGTTGATTAAAGAAAACATAATTATTAATATAATATTCCATTCCTGCCTTACTGCTAGGTTGGAGTTTGGCATGTAGCAGTTATGATGAAGCCTCAGAGGACGTGAGTCAATATTGTGCCCTCACAAAGATACTAATATACGTTTGTGTGTGTTTTGCACAAATAACATACATGGCTATTTGTTCTCCACTTTTGGTTGGTGGATGGACATTTGTTTTTATTCGTGCCTTAGTGTAAGTGTGTGTGTGTGTGTGTGTGTGTGTTTGTGTGTGTGTGTGAAACTGAATGTTGGTGTGCAGCACATGGAGTGGAAGTTAAAAAGCAGACGCAGGGAACAGGGAATTGCTTGTATTAGGAGTTGTGGTGTCCAAATACATCACAGCTTTTAAGAAGGACACTGGGGGCCACACACGGACACTGGAGGGGGGAGATAAGGAAGGCAGGCGGGGGGGGCAAGTGCGTAGTGTGTGTGTGTGGGAGGGAACCAGCCATCACAATCATCACCAGGCATTTTATCCAACTGACCTGCTCGGAGAGCTGCTTGCCTCTGAGGAAGAAGCCCAGCAGGCAGCCAATGACCACGGCCAGCACAGAAAGGATGAGCAGTCCGTTCTGCTTGCAGACATTCTTCACCCGCCCCCACACTTCATCCAGAGCCACTGCCATCCTCCTCCACCACCTCCTCCTCCTGCTTGTCCTGGTCCTGACTGCTCCTTCGCAACCCCCCC